ACTTGCTTGACTCAAGAATCCCATTTGATCTTCCTAAAAGACTTGTGGATTAGGCAGCACAGACCATTTTTCTCTCTTCATTTTACAATTTAGAAAACGGGGAGAGAGAGAGCTTACTTATCATATAATATACACAAAAATAAACTCAAAGTGAATCAAAGACTTAATGTAAGCCCTAAAATAGTAAAACTACTAGATGAAAACATAGAGAAGGCCCGGCACAATGGCTTACACCTGTAATTCCAGCACTTTGGTAGGCTGAGGCTGGGGGATCGCTTGAAGCCAGGAGTTTGAGACAAGCCTTAGCAGCATAGTGAGACCTCATATCTACAGAAAATCAAAAAATTAGCCAGGCATGGTGGCATGTGCCTGTAGTCCCAACTACTCAGGAAGCTGAGGCAGAAGGACCGCCTGAGCCCAGGAGGTCAAGGCTATGGTGAGCCATGAGTGTGCCACTGCACTCCAGCCTGAGTGACAGAGTGAGACTTCAATTCAAAAAAAAGAAAAAAGATAAGCTTCACGACATTGATCTGAGCAATGATTTTTTTTATACAACCTTGAAAACAGGCAACAATGCAAATACAGACAAATGGGATTACAACAAACTAAAAAGCTCTGCACAGCAAAATAAAAAATTAGCAGAGTAAAGAGACAGCCCACAGAGCAGAAGGAAATATTTGCAAACCATACATCTGATCAAGAGTTACTATCCAAAATGTAAAAGAAACTCAAGCAACTCAATAGCAAGGAAAAAAATAATTTTAAAATGGACAATGAATAGACATTTCTCAAAAAAAGACATACAAATGACCCTAACAGGCTTATGAAAAAATACTCAGCATCATTAATCATCAGAGAAATGCAAATTAAGATCACGAGATAACACATCACACCTGTTCGAATGGCTATTCTAAAAAAGACAAAAGATAGCAAATGTTGGCAAGTATGTGAAGAAAAGGGAACCCTTGTATGCTGTTGGTGGAAATATAAATTAGTACAGCTATTATAGAAAACAGTATGAAGGTTCCTCAAAAACTAAAAATAGAATTATCATATTCTCTAGCAATTCCATTTCTGAGTATACATTCAAAATAATCGAAATCAGTATGTGGAAGAGATATCTGCATTCCCATGTTCATTTCAGTATTATTCACAATAGCCAATATATGGAATTAACCTAAGTGGTAATCAATGGATGAATGGGTTTTTAAATTTGGTATGTCTACACAATAGAATACTATTCAGTTACTAAAAAGAAGGAAGCTAAGTCATCTGCAACAACATCGATGAACCTGGAGGACATTATACTAAATGAAATAAGCCAGGCACAGAAAGGCAAATACTGCATAATCTCACTTATTTGTGAAATCTAAAAAAGTCATACTTATAGAAGTAGAGAGTAGAATGGTGGTCACTAGTTGCTGGGAGTAGAAGGAACGGGAAGGTGTTGACCAAAGGGTACAAAGTTTCAGTTAGACAGGAGAAGTAAGTTTTCAAGATCTATTGTACAACAATTGACCATAGTCAATAGTCATGTATCATATATTTCAAAATTATTAAAAGATTGGATTTTAAATATTCTAACTCCAAAAAATGATAAATATGTGAGGTAATGGATGTGGGCATTAACTTGATATACTCATTCCATACTATATATATCTCAAAACATCATATCATACCCTATAAAATATGTACAATTATGATTTGTCAACTAAAATTTAAAATTTTTTTAAAACTTTAAAACAAAGTTTATTAGAGAAAGAAGAGAAAAAATAAAGACATGGGCAAGAGAAACTGCCTAAAATAAATTTTTTTTAAATTTAAAAAACAGATTTTTTTTGCGAGCGGGAGTGGCTAAACGTCTCATTTCAGATGAGTGCCTATGGCAGAACTGTTACTCATATCATGGTCTTTCTCTTGTTTAGGGCACTCCACTCCTTGCCTCTTCAAGCTCTCCAGATAGCAGGAATGTTACATGGGACCCTGGGTTACAACTCTTGAAGAGTGCTTCTGTCCAAGACCCTGCAGACAGGAAAGATATACCTAAATCCCACACATGTGTCCACTTCAGCTAAGATCCATTTCTGATCCTTCCAGAGTGGAAAGTGTCCTATGTAATTAACTTTCTACCCAGTGACTCAATGAGCTCCTTGACGGATGGTCCTGTACCAGACAGTCAACATTGTTCTCTCTTGCTGGTAGGTTGGATGTTCAAAGCAGCAATAGTTAGATCAGCTTTGGTAAATGAGAGCTTATGGAGATACACTCATGCATAACCCCCATTCTTGCTTTCATGGGTACTCTGTTTATTGTGCATTGTGCCGGCACTGGGGTGGCTAATAGCAGAGATTTGCTGATGGCAACTGGACAGGTCTTTCTGTCGACTTGGTGGTTTCGCGCATCTTCCATAAAGGGTTCTCTGTGATGAACATTAATGTATGATACAAAGATTGTCACACTCTGCCATAGTTTGAATGTGTCCCCTGGAAAGTATGTGTCAGAAGCTAAATCCCCATTACAACAGTGTTGGGAGGTGAGACCTGTGAGAAGTGATCAAGAATGAGGACAGAGTGAATGGGTTAATGCTGTTATCAAGGAATGGACTTGTTATCAAACAGGGAGTTCAGTTCCCTTTTACTCTCTCTCACTCTCTCACTTCTCCTTGCTCTTCTACCATGGGATGATGCAGCAAGAAGGGTCCCACAAGATACAGGCCCCTTGATCTTGAACTTCTCAGCCAGCAGAACCATGAGCCAATATATTTTTGTTCATTATATATATTACCCAGTCTGTGTTATTATCTTATAGCAGCACAAAATGGACTGACACACTTTATACCCCTTAGTGTGGCTCCACTTGCCTCTTTGCACAGACCTCCTTGTCTCCAGCTTTTCAATCTTCTAGACCCTTGACCAACCATCCAAGTCAGTAATCTGTGTCCATGTATATCCTTACTTCTGTCCACTTCTCTTTCCATATAAAGGACATGCCCTGTATACCACCCGAAGCTGGAATGTCCATAGGAGGAATATCCTCCTATAAGTGTCCTTCAAGGCCACCTCTAAATGGGGTTATCATGTAGGAGCAGTCCATTTTCAGCTAGTACCTACTCATTGAGCCAACTCATCTATAAACCAAGGCTGGACTTTTTCTTCTTCCATTAGCTGGTAATAAGTGTCATAGATGTGCACTGAAGGAAGTTGTCGGGTCATCATTGTTGAACGGATGACATGAACACATCTGGATCACCTGTCTGTGCAGCTTATTTGTTTTGTGTCTCTTATAAATAATATGTTGTTCTTTTTTCCACCCTAAGAGTCTAAGAATCAGATTCCTGGGAAGGGACTCGGAACTTTTGATAGTGAATGTTTATGCACAGTAAAGGCCAACCCAGCATATTAGGTCTCTCTACCTTTGGACCCACATCTTCCCTGCCCATTCTTCCTCCAGGAACTCTGGAACCAGGTTTACTCTAGGTAACTGGCATGGGGTTTTAACACCTTGGCACTCCCCTAGCTGCTGGTACCTCCCTAGTCTCCCAACTGTCCACCAGACCAGTGCTTGCCCAGGCAAACTTTTGTGTATTTATTTTTATTTTATTTTTATAGAGACATGGCGCTGCTCTATCGCCCAGGCTGGAGTGCAGTGGCGTGCTCACTGCAGCCTCGAACTCTTGGGGTTCTCAGGACTGCGGGCATGCGCCACCACAGCACCTGCCTAATTTTTGAAATTTTTTTGTAGAGGCAAGGTCTTGCTATGTTGCTCAGGCTGGTCTCGAACTCCTGTGCTCAAGCAATCAATCCTCCCGCCTCGGCCTCCCAAAGCGCGGAGTTAACAGGTGTGAGCCTCCGAGCCCCACCTCGCCCAGGGAAACTTGAAAGTTCCCTTCGGAACCTCGCGGGCTGACAAGCAAGTCACAGCGCTGGGTGGAGGATGTTGCCATGGAGACCGGTCCAGGGCCCGAGGCTCGAGAGGGGGAGGCCGGAGCGCGGGTTGCGACTGGCTCTGCGGGCGCGCAGCGTTCTCCCGGCTCACATGCGCAGTGG